TCCTGGGGTTGTGATCCTCATTGTCTTTTCCTAGGGTATTGTCTAAAATTTTTTGGAGTGCTGGTTTGGTATTCATGAAGTTCCTGAGGTGCTCTTTGTCGTGAAAATATCTTATTTCTCCATCAATTTTGAAAGATAGTTTTGCAGGGTACATCACTCTGGGTTAGAGGCTGTTTTCCTTTAGGGCTTGAAATACATCACTCCAAGCTCTTGCCTTGAGGGTTTGCTTTGAGAAGTCTGCTGTGATTCTGATGGGCTTTCCTTTGTAGATACTTGTTTTCTTATAAAAGTAACAAGTGTTACAAGAATAAAGCCAAGGGCATTGTACGATAGGAGACCAATTGTGTGAAAGGGGGAAATATGAATTATGTATTTCCTTGTGTGTGCATAAGGAAACCAGAAGATCTGTAAGAAATTAATATGAATGACTGTCCATGTGTGTATGTGTTGAGAGGGGAAGAAGAAATAATATGGTCATTTTTCATTGTGTGAAAATTTTGAGCCATTGTGCATGTGCTGATTTTTAAAAAAATTAATTAGCTGGGGGGCCCGGGATTTAGCTCAGTGGTTTCACTGGCTGCTGCGCAAGGACCGGAGTTCGATCCCCGGCATCAAAAAACCAAATTATCTGAGCGTGGACATGCCTGTAACTTCTCAGGAGGATCTCTGCAAATTCAAGGCCAGCCTGGGGTCCATAGTGAATTGAAGGCCATCTGAGACTACATAGCAAGACCTGTCTCAAAAAACCAAAACAAAATAAATAATCAGGATAGTTTAAAAAGTGGAGCTTCTTTGAATTCCACATATTTTTTTCCCGGTGGTGCTGGGGATTGAGCCTAGGGCCCTGAGCATGCTAGGGCAAACACTCTACCACTGAGCTACACCCTGAGGCCCCCACAGTCACAGTTACAGAGTTCTTTTTGGGGGGTTTGTTTTCTTTTTTTTGTTTTGAGACAGGGTCTCAGAGTGGTTCTGGCTGGCCTTGAACTCACTAAGTTACCCAGGCTGACCACCAACTTGAGGTGACCCTCCTGCCTCAGCATCCCAAGTGCCAGGTTACAGGTGTGTACTACCACACCCAGCCAGAGGAGCTTCTTAATTGACTTCTTTACCCACCTGTGCTATCCTTGTGGGCAGCAGATTTCTTCATATTGTTACTTCCAGTGGGGACTTTGGGAAGAAAGTGATACACAAATTTGTTGGCCCTGGTACTTTTTCCTATTGTTTCTTATTTTGTGTATTATTTTAAAAATTAGTACATGTTTAGGGCAGGGGATTTAGCTCAGTGATTCCCGAGCCTGCCTTGCAAGGGCAAGGTCCTGAGTTTGATCCTTGGTACCAAAAAAAAAAAAAAAATTAGTACATTTGCAGTATGTAATGATTTTATTACATTTATTGTGGGGAGTTTGTACATGTATATAACACATCTTAATTCTTTTTTTCTTCCCTTTCCCTCCCATCCCTTCCTACTCCCTCCAACTCTTGACTCCCTCCCTTTTTGGTGTGTTTTTTGTTTTTTTGAGAGTCTCACTATATAGTTCAGGCTGCCCTTGAACTTAACGGTCCCTCCTGGGACTACAGACTTGTACCACCATAGCCAGTCTATTCCCTCCTTTTTGAAAAAGCTCTATTATTTTCATATTTTCTTTGATTCTCTCCTTTTTAATTATTTTTCCCTTCCTCCTCTCCCTCCATCTTTTGTTCTTCCCATTTGGAAAAGCTATTCCTACTTCTTATCCTTTATTTCGCTCTTTATTTATATTTTGTGTTTCTCATATAAGAGAAAACATATGATATTTAAACTTGTGTGTCTGGTTTATTTCACTTAAGATTACCGTCTTGAGTGTACATCCATTAACCTACAGATGCCTCAAGTTTATCCTTTATGGCAGAATAGTACTCCATTGTGTATAAATACCACATTTTCTTTATTCTTTCATTGGCTGATGGACATATAGGCTGTTTCCAAGTTTTAGCTATTGTTACTTGTGTTGCTATAAACATGGGTATGCACGTACCTTTTTCTATGATTTCTCAGCCAAATCAGTAGCTTGAAAGACTTCCATAGTAGGAGTGTCAGTTTCTGTGACAGACCCTAAGAAATAGGCTTTTCCTTTGGCTGGACAATTAGAACAGTATCCTTTGGACAGGACTGAAGTCTCTGGCATTTTCTCTTTATTTGTAGGAACTTACAAGCAGCAATTGGCGCCTATTATGATTTTGAAAGCCCAAACATCAGTGTGCCCTCTATGTCCTTTGTTGAAGATGTCACCATAGGAGAAGGGGAGTCAATACCTCCCGATACTCAGTTTGTAAAAACATGGCGGATCCAGAATTCTGGTAAGTGTATAATGGGTAATCCTCTCTTGTTCAGTTTTTGTTTTTCTTAATTAAGAGAAATAAGAATGAAGTGTTGGAGCTTAGCATCTGATTGTTTGACTCCGAGCATTTTCTTATACATGGTGTGTAATATAGCATTTGTTTGTACTGGTGATGACCAAGCATCAGTGAAGTATCCCCTGCTGCAGAATAAGAGGAAGAATTTAGATCTCATGCTTCCAGGCCGCCTAAGTCCTGATGGCATCTACATATAAGCCAGTATTCATTTGGTTCTGGGAGCTAGGCTTGTATCATTTCCACCTGTACAGTCTGCTTCATCATTTTATTTCTGCTCTAGTTAATCTTCCAGTCATCTCCAGCAGGTGAGAGGAGGTATATCCTTGACTAGGACTGGGCAGTTGGAAAGAGCTGTCAGCATCTGCTCTTTTGCAGGCTCATTTCTTTGCAGCCATTGAGATATCTGAAGCATTAATACCACTTTGAAAAAGAGTGTAAGGGGTATAGAGATTTCCTCAGGAGACGAGAGAAGTTGTTGAACATTTAAAAAGCACACTGTTGCAATGTACTGCTGTCTTAGGACAAAGTGGAAATAAGCTAATCATAATCCCTTGAAAATAGCGTGAGTACTGGCCTGGCAACTGTTAATTTACCTTTTACTCGCTCAGTTTTTTTTGCATGAGATTAGTATCTCTCATCCTGTTTCATGGTGATCTGTGCTGACTGGTTGAAGGCCTTTTAACTTTCTTGTTAATGAAGATTCTTAAAGAAATTCTGATAAGTAGAAACCTAGGCAAAAAGTAGTATTTAGCTAAAAATGTGGGGTCTTTTTTGGTTTGCTGAGACAGGGCCTCACTGCCTAGTTCAGGATGGCCTTGAACTCACTGTGTAGTTTATGCTGGCTTCCAATTCACGGCCATCCTCCTGCCTCACCCGCAGCCTCCCAAGTGGTAGGATTACAGGTGTACACCACCACACCTGGCACAAGGTGATTTCACATGATATGAAATGGAGGACTCAACTGAAAAATGACCTTTTATTAATTCAATTTTTAATTCTTCGTAATTCATTTCTTTGTGGTGAGGAAAGATTGGCTAAATTAGCCTTTTATGTAAGAATTAATGCACCAAATTTAATTATTCTTTTTTTTTCTCTCCTGGTACATTTAGAAATAACTCTGACTTTGAGATTTTTTTTTTTTTTTGAAACAGCACTCCTGTAGTTCAGGCTGGTCTTGAACTCACTATGTGGCCTTGAACCCACAGGGAGCCTCTTGCCTCAGTCTCCTGAGTGCTGAGATTACAGGCTTGCTCCACCACGCCCAGCCTGGTTTGATTTTTTTGAGAGTCTGACCATATAGCCCAGGCTAAGCTTCATCTCTTGGTCCTCCTGCATCAGCCTCCTGAGTGCTGGGATTAAGTTACAGACATCTGCCACCATGCCTGAGACAGACATGTTATTAATGAGACAGAATGCTGATTCTTCAATGCCATCCTAGTCTGGCCTGAGTCCTTTCTGGAAATAAGTAGCACAGAAACACAGAAATAGGGCATGCCTCTCAGCTCTTTCTCCTGTAGCTTGCTTATTGTTATTCATTACCTGCCGTAAGAGACATTGACCCAAGTGTGGCAGTGTACCCCTGTAATCCCAGCACTTGGGAGACTGAGGCAGGAGGACTGCTTTGAGCTCAAGGCTGGCCTGGGGCTCTCTAGTGAGTTCAAGGATATCTGGAACTACATAGTGAGACCTTGTCTCAAGAAAGGGGGGAGGGCTGGGGATTCAGCTCGGTGGTTCCGCTGCCTGCCTTGCAAGTGCAAGAATCCGAGTTCGATCCCCGGTACCAAAAAAGAAGAAAACAAAACTATGACCTGCAAAAAAGGGAGGAAGGAGGAGTTGAAAGAGTCATATAGATAGTAATTTCATGATACCTGTTGGCTGCCATGCTTAAGTGTGCCAGGCATTTGCATACACTGCAGATGAGATTGGTAGGAACTGCATTTAGCTGTCCCAGCAGCTTCCCCAAAGAAGGTAAGTGCCATCTACTATTCAGCCTTTAACATTGTGTGACATAAGTGAATAATTCCAGGATCCAAACTTCTTTTGCTAAGGAAGTATTGGAAGCTTGGGAAACATAAATGTGAAACATTACAGTTGGAGGTTAAAGTTAATATTTGAACCTATCTCTCTACAGATGTGAGCAGACAGAATTCTCTCTACCAACACTTAAACAGCTTCTTAGTTATTATTAGTTGTACTTGTGATATGAGCATCATCTTTATTTTTTGAGCTACTTATATAAAATAAGGGTTAGGAAAAGAATTTGAGAAAAGACAACTGTTTTTCCCTCATCTTTCTTTTAGCTCAGGTTACAATAGTTAATTTTCTGCTTTTCTGTACAGTGTGATTATAGAGAAGATGCTGCTTTCCATGTATTCAACACATACCAGTATGTTCTGTCCCTTCATTAAGTGCAGGAGAGAACTGGTGACAAAATTGAAAGTCTGTTTTCTTGGAGCTTAATTTGAAATGCAGACCCCTCACTCACACAGGTTAAAAAGGAGATCTTCATTCAGGCTTGTCTTCTGCATTGCCATTTGGATGTTCCTACTGCCTCCAAATTCTTTCTGTGATCCCTGATACTCTAATTCCCAGGCTGTCTGGAACTGTTGAACAGCATTGATTTTTGTGATACTTTCTACCATCTTGAAATTGCCACGATGGGGTTTTGTTTTTACTTTATTTTTTCCTGTCTTTTTTTGTTTGTTTGTTTTTTTGGTACTGGAGATCGAACCTCGGGACCTTGCGCTTTCGAGGCCAGTGCCGGAACCACTGAGCTAAATCCCCGGCCCATTACTTTATTTTTTAAATTAATGGTAATTTGGAACTTGGGGTGTAGCTTAGTGGTAGAGAACTTGCCTAGCATGCACAAGGCCCTGGATACAACCCCAGCACAACACACCCAGTTACTGCATAATACTTGGAGCATCACAGAAGTAGTCATATACTTGATTGTGAGACCTAACTTGGAAAGTCGTAAACACAGATGAGTCTTCCTTTTCTTTTAGATAGACTGAGCACCCGTTAAGTAAATTTATATGAAGACTTAATTTGAAGTTCTGTTGTATTATACTTTTGATAAACTTGCCCAGGTGACCCAAACAACTAACCAGTATTTCCCTTCCTTCTGGATGGAGCAAACAATATCTTTAACCTTGTTAAGAGTAACCAGTCTTAACAGATGGAACTGAAAGAACTGTAAATATATCATTGATAATTCTCAGAAGGCAGGTGATTGATTCTTCACTTCCTGGCATATGAATCCGTTAGAGTTGATGGTTGGTAACCTGCACTTCTTCCTTCAAAATGCTCTCCAAGTACCATGACATTAAACATCGTATATATCTGAAGGACCCTGCGGTGCACAGCCAGAGAACCTGTCTTAGCCACTTGTGGTTGTCTGTGCAGGATGACTGACTCTTTCTCATACTTAGTTTTCTTTTATCTTATGTCCTTAGAAACTAGAAAAGATCCACTCTCAGACCTTGTCTTGGTACGGAGGGATGTGTTAAAGAACAAATTGAGACTTATAACAGTAGTTTAATCTTGATCTTGAGAGAGACTGACATTTTCTAAGTTGCTTCACATCAGCTGTTTTTCTTGACCTCAGACAAATAAATGCTTTTGCCAGGCCCCAGAAATGAAAAACAGAGTTTGCATGTGTTACTAGTGTGTCATCTACAACCTTTGTGCCACACAGTAGTTATCCTTTATAGTGTTAACTTAGGGGAGTGCTTGCTGGTAGGTTGTTTTGTTGGTTTTTTGAAGCAGAATCTCCCTCTAGTTCGGGATGACCCTGAACTCATTATGTAGCCCAGGCTGGCCTCAAACTCGCAGCGATCCTCCTGCCTCAGCCTCCTGAGTGCTGGGATTGGATTACAGGCATGTGCCACCATATCCAGCTTGTTTTTTTGTTTTGGTACCAGAAATTGAACTCAAGACCTTGCGCTTGTAAGGCAGGCTTGGTGCTGTTGAGCTAAATCCCTGGCCAATTGTTTTGTTTTGTTTTGTTTTGGTATCAGGAGGACCTTGTGCTTTGGAGGCAGGCAGCAAAATCACTGAGCTAAGTCTATGGCCCTCATTTGTTTTTTTAAAGGAATAGCCTTCTGAGTAGCTGAGCCTATAGGTATGCACCCAGTTACCAGTAGGTTTGTTTTTTGTTTTGGGGGGTTTTTTTGGTACTGGGGATCGAACTCGGGTCCTTGCACTTGCAAGACAGGTGACGGAACCACTGAGCTAAATCTCTGGCCCCACTGGTAGGTTTTTTATAGAGGGTACTCCAAAACACAATGGCCCCTGCTTCATGTACCCCAGAACACCCAAGCACTACAAAGGATACTATTTATAATGGAGCTTGGTTCTTAGTAGTACAGCTCTGGTTGTTTTTTCCTCTGTTTACTTTCCAATAGTAAGCCATCAGGTATGTTAAAACCAGCCTGACACTTTGAGAACAAGGAATTGAGGCATCCTAGAGGACTGGTGCAAGATAAATTACAAGCACCTTCTGTCCTGAGAGCCCTGCAGTGGCCAGCTTTTTTAGTGATTTTTTTTTTATAATGAATATAATAAGAAAAGATATTTCAGTCTATATTTCAAAAGGAGAATACCATTTGCATATTGGAGAGTTCTAACAAGAAACATTACATCTAGTCATTGTGTCGCTACCTGTGTATGACATTTGACTAGTCAGAACTAGCCAATACATAGAGTTCTCATTTTGAATTTCATGTCTATAGTTTATGTGAGAATAGGCACACAAGAGTTAAAACCAAAGGTGTTGACTTTCTGTTGGGGTGACATAATACCTGAAGACAACTTAAAGGAAGAGAGATTTATTTGGCTCAGTTTCAGAGGTTTTAAGTCCATGGTCATGTGACTGTGTTGCTGCTAAGCCCCTGACAGGCAGAAACACCATGGCAGAAGGGTGTGATGGAAGAAAATTGCTCACCTCATTGCAGCCAGGGAGCCAGGGCCTAGAGACAAGATAGAACTCCAAGGTCACACATCCTAAGTGCTCCCTTCAACTAGGCCCAACCTCCTAAAAGCCCATTCAGCCACGAACTCATGAATGAGTTAATACTCTGTCTGATGATCTGTCACTTTGCAAAAGCCCACTTGCTGGATTTTCTTCATTTTTTTTTTTTGGTACTGGGGATCAAATTTAGGACCTTGCGCTTGCGAGGCAGGTGGTGGAACCACTGAGCTAAATTCCCAGCCCCACTTGCTGGATTTTCAAGGACGCTTTAGATCCAAACCATAACACCAAGTGAGATCTTTAGTACTTCCAAAGGAAGAAAAACATTCCTGCCAGTGCCAGTGCTCTGTATCATCACTCCCATCCTTTCCATAAGCTGGTACCATTTCCGGCTGGTGCCATTGCTCGAAGGATTGTAGTTCGTTGATATTGTCAGGGAAGGTCACTGTGTTGTTTATATTTTTCCCACCACTGTTTGAAAATGAGATCTAAACTTTGACTTGACAGCTCTCTTGTATTGGCAGAATCTCCTGAGCCTGGGTATTTTATAGTTAACAGTTGTATCAGGCCAAAAACAGTTTGAAAATGAGAATACTATTATAGATATTACAATACTTCTCATGTTCTCATCCTCTTGCTTGTGTAAAAATTGGGAACAGCCAGACATATTTGTACTTGGAATGCCATCGTAAAAAATTCAAATGAAACGAACATGTGGACATTTGTCACCTTTAGAAGAGAAAGCACTCTCCCAGCATTGTGGCCCTGGCTCTTCATGGACATCATTCTTAGGTTCTGCAGATTCACTGTGAAGAGTGGCTTTCTCTGAGGTCTCGTGAAACACACATCTTGAAACTGCTTTGCCTTTGCCATATGTGCATTCTCACAGGGATAGATTGTTGGTCAGAGGTTGTTGGTTTTGATCATTCCTTCTGCTTGGTCATGTGAGGCATTATGTAACTCATAGAAGTGTAGGTGGATTTACATATATATGTGTGTAAAACAAGGAAAGAGGCCTCCTGTACAGTTTCATAATAAAGGACACCCAGCACAGGACCATTGATTGCCTAACATTTTTTTCTTTTGCTTGAACTCAGGAGCAGAAGTCTGGCCTCCAGGGGTTTGTCTTAAATATGTCGGGGGAGACCAATTTGGACATGTGAACATGGTGATGGTGAGATCCCTAGAGCCCCAAGAGATTGCAGATGTCAGCGTCCAGATGTGCAGCCCCAGCAGAGCAGGAATGTATCAGGGACAGTGGCGGATGTGCACTGCTACCGGACTCTACTATGGAGGTGAGTCTGTTCATGTGCAGTCCAGGGTGAAGGAATTAAGGTAACAGCATCCTATCACATAATGAGGTGTGGCCTCTTTTACCCATACCAGTAAATGACTTGAATTTAGTGACTAATTGGTTCATATAGTGCTCTCCTTGTATCCTAGGAATTTAATCAAAGTTTAGTGATGTGTAAAAGGTATTATACTATGTATTCTAAGCAGTGTAGTGTTACTGCTATTTTATTACATAATCTGGTAAGTGCTAAGAATCCTGAAGGCAGACCTGTTCTCAGAGTCTCCAGACACAAGTCATATACAACTGATAATTCACAACTTGATGGTCTGTCAAACTAACACCTGCCACTCCTTCCCTTTATTGCCAAACTTTTGAAACATGCTCCATATTATCTCTTCTGTATTTTCTATGCACTCTTCAACCTCATCTATCTTTGACCCACTCCCAAGTCCAGTGAATGTCCACAAGTGTCGTCCCAGTTGCCAAATCCAGTGGCCTCTTTATATAGTCTTCATAGGGTCCCACCTTCTAATTATCATTTGGCACTTTATTTGGATGCTTTTTTATAACGTGTGGCTTATTAGACTCATAAATCTCGTCTGCCATTTCTCCTCCTCCTTGTGAACTGCTCTGCTCTGTCTAGTCTCATCTGTGCCCTGGGGTTACAGCATTGTTCATCCCCAGTGTGGCTTCAGCTGGTCACCAGCACACGACGCACAGTGATGGCCGAATTCTTTTTTTTTTTTTTCCGGTACTGAGGATCAAACTCAGGACCTTGTGCTTACTGAGACAGGAGCAGTGCCACTGAGCTAAATCTCCAGCTCTCCAAATTCTTGTCTTTGGCAGTGGCCTCTTTTCAGAGCTCCAGATTCATGTTTGAACTCCTTTATGGGCCATGCACCTGGATGTTCTGTAGCTTTCTGAATTTTAACATCTCCCAGATAAAACTTGGCTCCTCATTGGCACCCTGCTGAGACAGGCCAGAAACCAAGGATCTATCATTTGTTCTCCCCATCTTCCTTAATCCAAACTAGTTCTTGTTGGTTTCACTGCATCTTGTGCCCTGGGGGTACAAAGAGAAACAACATAGTAGTTCCTGTTTCCAGGCAACTCTTAAACTGGACTCAGAGCCTTAGGTCAGTGGGACCTCTGGAGTTACTTCAGAAGTCCTGGAATTGAGGTTCTCATATATTTCTGTAGCCAGTGGAAACTTTGAATATTTTAGTCTCAGAAGTTTGTTTTTTTGGGGTTTTTTTGGTACCGGGGATCAAACTCAGGACCTTCTGCTTGCAAGGCAGATGGCGGAACCACTGAGCTAAATCCGCGGCCCCAGAAGTTTTTAATGGTAGGAAGAGTGTTTCATAGTGCTTAGGTGGCACCATTCTTTGCCTTGAAGCTTTTGGGCTGCTGTAATGAAGCTAGATTCCTTGACATGTGATTAAAGTACCTCATGATTTTGGCCTGACCCCATTTTCACTTTGATCTTCAGTCACCTTCTAACTTCGCCACAGTCAATCCCCAAAGATGCCCCTGGCTTGCACTTGGCCTTGCTCCATGCCCTTGCTCATGTTCTTCCCATTGCTTGAAATAGCTTTTGCTTTTCTTTCTGGCAAACTCCTGCACATCCTCAAACCCTGATAAGTCACTCTTCTCCCCTTGTTCCCCCCTCCCTACTCTCACTACCCAAAGGAAGTTCATCTTCCTTTTCATTAGGATGCACATGCTTGCCGTTCTACTTGATACACTGTATTTTAGGGGTTTGTTTGCTTATTCTTTTCGCCTATGAAATTGTACACTATTAGTTGAATAACAAATGAACATACAGTCACCTGTCAAAATGTAGAGAGAAGCTGGATGTGGCAGCATATGCCTGTGATCACAGGACTCTGAGAGGCTGAGGCAGGAGGATAGCAAGTTTGAGTCCAGCCTGGACAACTTAGGTACTTGATAAGACACTATCAAAAATTTAAAAAAGATCAGATGAGTGCAAAAGCCTTGGGTTCGTTTATCAGTACTGCAAAAAACAAAACAGATTCGTCCCTTCCCATCCTTCCATGACTCCATTTTCAGGTGGCCTCTGCTAAGAATCTTCTTAGCTGTATTTGGGAGTGTTAGTTTCTCCCACTGCACAGCTCTGTTACATTCTCTCTTCATCTCTTATTTTGTTTCTCTTTGCACTTTATCCTTTTTTCTACCTGCTTACCGTTAATGTATTAAACATTTTTAAAGGGGAGGGACAACAATATACATGACTTTAAAAAATCCCTTTAATTAGGGTCGGGGATTTAGCTCAGTGGTTTCGCCGCCTGCTGCGCCACAAGGACCAGAGTTCAATCCCCGGTACAAAAAAAAACCCCTTTAATTAAAAGATAACTCTTAGTGTTCTCTAGTGCTTGGGACCTCTAGTAGTGCATGCATGCATGTTAAATTGAAAATACATTTATGTAGGACAATAAATTGTATACTTGTAGGAGCCTACTTTTATTCTAGATAACGATGGTGTTTAAATGTACTAGTTTTGGGAGTAACTAAAAACTCAGAGCCTTTTTAGTGTGTCATTTGTTTCTCAGGACTTTGTGGAATCTCAAACCTTCAAGGGATATTAATAGTTTATCTGATTTTGTAGTTATCAAGCATTTTTCTTAGACAGTAGAACCTTTTCCTTGATAAAAACATATATAGGGCCCGGAATGTAGCTCAGTGGTACCACGCCTGCCTGGCAAGCCCAAGGTCCTGAATTCCACTCCCTGTACTGAAAAACAACAACAACAAAAAAGCATATATAAGTGCCCCCCCACCCCGCCCCGTGCCAAAAAGGGAAAAGATAAAAAATAGAAATGAAACTCGTTCTCTTTCTTTCTTTCTTTTTTTTTTTTTTTTTTTTT